ACTTCCACTGTTCAAAAGACACTGTTTTCTTCCATCTCTTCATTATCATGTTGAAATATACATGAGTATGCATATATCTGTTTGTGTCACAGCTCTGAGTTTTTTAGAGTATATTCCCAGTAGTGGGATAGCAAAATAGATTATTTCTATTTCCAACTTTTTGGGGAAGCGCCATGCTGCCATCCACAGTGGTTGCACCATTTTACATTCCCTCCAGCAATGAATGAGAGTGCCAATCTCTTCATATCCTTGCCAGCATAGGTTGATTGCTGACTTACTGAACTTTGCTATTGTTGTTGGGGGATTCAAGTGCCCAACAACAAACGAAAGAATAGAAAAGCTATGGTATGTCCACACAATGGAATATTATGCAACACTGGAAAATTATAACACTCCATAACATGGATGAATCTGGAAGACAATGTGCTGAGTGTAATATCTCTGTCACAAAAGGACAAATATTGGATAAAACCATTGTTATAAAAATAGAATGGACACAGGGGAGAGATAGGAGGAAAAGAATGAACAGGTAATAAACATTACAATGGAACAGGAGAAGGGAAGAAGGACTATCTGAAAGGAATGAATGATTAGACATTGTATGTGTGACAATTAACATTATGGAACAAGGCATGCATTTCAATCTATATGCAGAACAGAACATTTGAGACACTGGGCTTTATGAGGAGGAATGTGGGATCAAGACTGGAGGAAGATTCATCAACAACCTATGTTATGCAGATGACATAACCTGGCTTGCTGAAACTGAGGAGGATCTGAAGTGCTTGGTGCAGAAAGTCAAGGACTGAAGTTTTTAATACGGATTGAAGCTCAACATCAAGAAGACAAAGAGTCTCACCACTGGGCCAGTTGGTAGCACCATGATTGATGGAGAAGAGATTGAGGTTGTTAACAATTACAGCTTGCTTGGTTCCACAATCAACATTCTTGGCACCAGCAGTCAGGAAATCGAAAGATGCATTGCACTGGGAAAATCTGCTGTCAGGGACCTCTCCAGAGTACTGAGAAGCAACGACGTTAGTCAAAAGACTAAAGTGTGCCTGATTAAGGTCAAGGTCTTTGCAATTGCTTGCAATGCATCAGAGAACTGGACAATGACTAAGGATGACAGAAGAAGAATTGATGCCTCTGAGTTGTGGTGCTGGAGAAGAGTCTTGAACATAACCGTGGACCACAAAGAAAACAAGTCTGTCTTGGAAAGGGTGAAAGCAAGTTTCTCCTAGGAGTCTAGGATTTTCAAGCTCTGTCTCACATACTTTGGGCACGTGGCCAGGAGGGACCAGTCCTAGGAGAAGGACCTCATGCTTGGAAGGTTAGAGGAACAGGTTAGGAGAGGAAGACCCCAGGTGAGACTGATTGACATAGTAAATGGGGCAATGAGATTAGATGTGACAGAGTCAGTAAGACTGGCTTAGGGTAGGGCAGGCTTTAGAGCTGTTGTATATAGGGTTGCTGTGAGTTGCAGGTGACTCGATGGCACCTAACAATAACAACACCAAGGAGAGATATACACCGCAGCACAATCAGCTACAGACCAGTACTTGCCCCAAAACAGAGCTCAGAAGGCAGGAAGAGGCAGAAATAAGGATAAATGGGGGACTTCAGTGCAGAAGTGGAAAGAATATTGTTGTATTAAGGGGGATTGTAACCAATGCTACAAACATTGAATGACAATATAATGTGCTCTTTAAATGCTTACCCCAAACTAAAGTAAAGAAAAAAAAAAAAAGCCTTAAAAAGGTCGTCCCCATTCTAATTTCTAATTCTTGTTTTCAAGGTTTCTTTTTTATAAACAACTCAAATCTTTATTTCTTTGGGATTCTTTTCTGGAAGTGAAATTAACAGGCTACAACTGGTATGTATTTGTAAACTGATTACTAAATTGCCTGGTGAAAGCTGTTCAGTAGTAGATAAGCAGGTTAGTTTACTCTACTGCCTATCTCACAATGACAAACCAGTGTGTAACAATGGTCTTACCTCAAATATCTCTGATCATTTTATCTCTGAAAGCAAACGCCCTGTTTCTGATGTCATCCTCATCCTTTTTTCTGTTTCATCTTACTACAAGCAGTTTTCTGTTGATCATTAACTTGCCAGATGTGCTTCAAAGAGACTCCCCCCACACACTCTTGAAGCCACTTCAATTGTCTTCATTAGATAAACAGACAATAAGATGAAAAGATTCCATTTGCTTTTGTATTCCCAGCACCTGGTGTGAATTAGTTCACATCTATTTTCTCTGAATCATCACCATAACCCTGTCCTGGAAGGAGGTATTATTATTATTAACTTATTTCTTTATGTGAGCGAAAGGCAGCTTGGAGAAGCCAACCAAACTATCTAAGGTTACACAGTTACAAAAGGGTACAGGTAAGACTGAAATCCGAGACCCTACTTGACCGTTTTATAAATGGTCTGAACCTAGAAAGATGGGATCATGGCAGCCTTGGTTCAACTTGGAACTCCATATTACGCTGGGCAACACTTTCCCAGAATGTGCTGCCAAACCATATTCTAGTTGGGAGTCTTTTGGCTAAGGCCCTTGATGACCTTTTTTTTTTGTTTTTTTACCTTGACTACTTTTATTCTTAACCAGTAAATGACAGACAGTTGTTCTCATTTATGTAATTTCTCTTGTTCAGTTTCTGAATAGCTACTAACTGTAACAAGGTGGGTACACCAAGAAACATGTTCTAACTTAAACTTCAACCCTTAAATTCTTGTGCTATGTTTCCATTTGCAACAAGATTGGAGGGTTATATTGTATATGTAGCACAATGAAATAAAACCTCAATAATAAACCATAATGCTCTTTGCCATGAGAAAATCATATTTGTAAAGGTATTAAAAATTTTTAGTTTCTCAACCTCATTTTGTGAGACCCTACTCCTTCCAAAGACCCACCTTTGCCCTTGGGGACCCTGGCTTTTACCAACAACTTCTCTTTGGAAAGGATTGGAAACCTTGGAGAGAATCTAAGAGACTGTCTTTTTCTGGAGTGCTTACAAGTAAAGCCTTATCACCAGTTGTGGCAAGAGAGGTTCTGTTCTGGTTTCTACCAGAATAAATGGCAGTAGCAAATACATGGGAAAACAATTTTATAATAAGGGGTCCTTTAGGGCATCCCAGTAGTTAATGTTCACAAGGACCTTTGTCTACAACGGATAATTGTCTTTTCTAGTTTAACAAAAGCAACAATAATACATTTACTTTAAAACTTATTTCTGGCAGGCATTTGTAGCAAATGCTTTCCCATGTATTACTTCCTTCAACCCTGTGAAGAAGGTTTCCCTATCATAGACTAAGAATCTGAGGCCAGAGACCTAGATAACTTTCCCTGGGACACAACTAGTAAATGGGCAAGGCTAAGACATGACTACAAGTGTTTTTACCTGTAGTTGTAATTGCTGTTGAGTCAGTTTTGACTCATAGTAAACCCCATTTGACAGAGGAGATAGAATTGCCCCATAGTTTTCTAGACTGTAATCTTTATGGAAGGAGATCACCACGTCTTTTTCCTGAAGAGTCCTTGGGTGGTGGATTCCAACCACCAATATTTCAGTTAGTAGCTCAGAGCTTAACTATTGCCCCATCAAGACTCCTCTCCTCTAATTCCAGAGCCTGAATTTTTAGGTTTAGTGCTCTCAAGATGAAAGGGAGGAAGTTACCACATGACCCAACAACTCCACTTCTAGGTATTTACCCAAGAGAATTGAAAACATATATCCACGCAAAACTTGTACATAAATGCTCATAACCACATTGTTGTTGTGGTTGTGTACCATTGAGTCAGAGCTAGCTCATAGCTGACCCTCCCCCAACCCCGCAGCAGGTTCTCATAGGCAATAAGTAGCACGAAAGGAGATTGTCCACTTTTTTCCCCCATGGAGAAGCTGATGGAATAGAACCTTGTGCCTTTGGGTTGACAGCACAACTCTTTACCACTAATCAACATTATTGTTGCTGTTGTTATGTACCATCAGGTGGAGTACAACTCAGCAACCTATGAACAACAGACCAAATCATATCTGATGCCATCCTCACTGTCTCTGACACACTTGAGCCCATTGCTGCAGTCACCATGTCAATCAATGTCAGGGGTTTTCTTCTCTTTTGCTGACACTCCAGTTTTCCAAGTATTATGTTCTTGTCCAAGGAACAGCCTTTCCTAGAAAGATGGCCAAAGTATGAGGGACAAAAACTCACCATCTTTTTCTCCAAGGGGTACTATGGCTGTGCTTTTCCCAAGATGTACCTGGAAGCAACTCAAATATTCTCCAACTGATGAGTGGCTAAAATAAAATGTGCTATATCCATACAATACAATATTATTCAGCCTCAAAAAAAGAAGTACTCATCTATGCTAATGTGTACTAACCCTGACAAAATTACACAATGTGAAAAATACAAATGCAAAAGGTCAAATATTTATAAGAAATGACTCAATAGATAAATACCTAGAGGGAGAAGGTAAGTGAGTTGTTGACAAGGACTGGGGCAGACTTGAGAAGAGAGGGGAGAAAAGAGAAAATAGCAGAACTTCATTACTCTGTTCTTAAAAGTCAAAGTGGAAGATGAATTCCAGGCTACAGTGTGGGTCCAGAATTGCTTGACACAAGCACTTCTGATATGTGGCCTTGGACATTCTAAATGCCAAGAGGCCTATAAAGTTGATGTGGCTAGCTCTGGACATAAGTTCTTATCCTTCCAGACCCTCCCTTAAACCTTTTAAATCACACTCAGTGTCTCATCCTTGGACCCTCACATGACCTCCACCACTATCCTCATTCCTTCATTATGATGATGATGATGTTAATTTTAAAGATAATACAGTATTAGAGAAGTAGTACAAAGCCGTAGGCAAATAAAAAGTAGAGCTGTGTGTCTGACTCTAGCGTACATGGTATACCTCTCTCACATGAAGCTCACCCATCCTCTTCTGCTGTCTCCCTGTGTCTGTTGTCCTAGCTCGGAGGGAAATGGCACGTGTCTCTGGCTCCTCACGCTCTCATTGCCTCATCACACTCCTCTTTCTTCAGCTGCGGGCACAGTGGTCAGGTAGGAATTTTTGAACCTCTTTCCCTGTCTGAGATCAGCTGATGATGGGGCCACAAGAACAGGGAGATCTGAGAGTTCGAGGCCTTATCCCTCCTTGGGTTCTGCTCTTCCTCCAGTCCTTTCTGATGCCCTCCATGACCTATCTTTTCCCTCAAGGTGTCAGGGTTCTCCTGCCCCTTCACGCTTGTTCTCTGCATCTTTTCCAGATAGTCACGTCTCTTTCTGTTCTTGTTCACTCTGCACAGGGGAGGCCAGCAAGTCCCTCCTGGTCCCGCTAGGGGGCACGGCCGAGCTGCCCTGCCCTCTGTCCCTGTGGCCAGTCACAGTGCCCACAGAGGTGAGGTGGCTGCGCTCCCCACCTCCCCAGCATTCCCAGGCTGTTCACGTGTTCCGGGATGGGAAGGACTGGGATGAAGATCTGCTGCCGGAATATAAGGGGAGGACGGCGCTGCTGAGGGATGACGCAGAGGGAACTGTGACCCTGAAGATCAGCGGGATCCGGCTGGAAGACCGAGGGCAGTACCGCTGTCAGATCCAGATCCGCAACCGGACTCGGGAGGGCAGCGTTACCCTGGAGGTCGCAGGTTAGGGCGGGCTTGAGGCGTTTAAAGTCTCTTGTGGTAGCTGCCTGAGCTTAGGGAAAATAGACTTTGACCTTCTAGATCTAGAATATTCTTTCATGTGCAATGCACAGCTTCAGCTTACCCTAATCCTGCTGTGATCCTGGCCCAGGTGTTTCTGGTGAAGAGTTTCCATGTTTCTATCAAGAACACACTGCTAGTTAAATACCACGAGTGGCCTTTACAGTCTGACCCTTAATCACAGCCTGATGCTTAACCATAGCCTTCCCTTTCTAGACCATCCTTCTCTGCTCCGTTATGTAGGAACTTCTCACCATGGCTGTAAGGAAATGTCCTCAAGGACCAGAACATCAGTGTTAACAAAGGTTTACTTACAATGAGTCCTGTGCTGAGGCTCATAATGTCATAAGAATCCAAGAAGGTAGAGGTAAATTCTTAAACTAACTCTTCAGGCCCCCAAACACCCACATCTTGCATTTACCTAGAATGATACAGGGGAGCACACGTGGCCTAGTGCTGCGCTGTAATCCCAAAGGCACAGGGTTCTGCAGCTGCTCTGCTCCAGTACAATTAACTGCTTCTGAAAACCTGCTGGAGCATCATCTTTGGGTCAGTTCTGACTCCACTGCACAAACAACAGAATGATACAGCTCCCTATTTTTGGTCATAATTTAGAATCACATAAATTAAATTATCTACTTTATAATCACACCTCAAAAAGAGGGATTTTCCTTTCCCCCTACCCAAGGTAAGGTTTCAATTACCTTAAAATACTTTGTGGTTAGTAGACAAACTTTTTGAAACATGGAATTCTTTGAGGGGGAAAATTAGCTTTTTAAAAGAGAGGGACTGAGGTGTCCAAAGGAATCTGCATCATATGATGCAGTAACTGTTATGAGTAGATTCTGAGAGATATTAGGACATAGTTAGAGCCTTCTCCTAGGAGGAACATGTGAGAGTGACTTTCACAGCCTTCCTTCCCTGTTTGCCAGAGGAGGCTGCAGGAGAAAGAGGAGGGCTCTGGCTGGGACATGGGTCCTTGGCAAGAGGCCCTAAAGCCCATTTCTGGGCTGGTTCAGTCAGACAATCTCTCCTCTTCAGTTCTAGGTTCTGATCCCTATATCCACGTGGAGGCCTACAACGCTGGATGGTTCCAGCTGGAGTGTAGGTCAGTGGGATGGTTTCCAAAACCCTGGGCTGAGTGGAAGGACACTCAAGGCAGGGTGCTTCCTCCTCTGTCAGAGGCCCACGTCCTGGAAGAAGCTGGCCTCTTCAGTACAAGGGTGTCCAGCAGAATCCCGTACAGCACTCCGGGGACTGTGTCCTGTACCATGCACAACGTGGCCCTTGGTCAAGAGAAGACTGCCGCCATGGCCATCACAGGTAAAAGCTGGGACAGAAGTCAGGTTTGCCATTCTTGGTAGTTTCTGAGAAAGTGCATCCTCTAGTAGAAAATCTACAAAATAAAGAACTTTCAAGAGTTTGAAATTCTCAACATCTTCACTGTAGAAAACTTGAGAAAACACAGAACATTTTAACAAAAACAGAGAATGACACATAATCTCACAAATAAGTGAGAACTACTGCTAACATTTCCTTGAATGGATGGTTCTTTGAGCACCTATTTATTTCCATATTCTTTTTTTTTAATTTATTTTATTATTTTTGTGTGAGTGTACCATCAAATCAGATCTGACTGGTACAGGAGGAGATTGTCCCTCCTTCCCCAGCAGAGCATCTGGTGGATTCGAACTGTGCGCCTCTGGGATTGTAGTTGCAGCTCCTTACCACTAGGCCACGAGAGCTCCCCTATTTCCATATTCTTGTATCTTTTCCTACCATATACCATGTCATGAACACTTTTCACCAAGTCCTTAGCTCATTCTCTGCAACATAATTTGTAAAGGCTGATATTTCATCATGTGGTTAAAGCATAAAAAAATTAATCAAAACCCTGTGGACATTTGGATTATTTTTTTGTTTGTCTTCATATTATAACTAATGGTGCAAAGAATGTCTCTATGCATACTTTTAGAAGTGATTGTGATTATTTTCTTAGAATTTTTCTGAGTGAATGAGTTAGAATTGAAACTTTTATAAACCATTAGAACATGGAGCTATGTGGTAGAAAAGGTTGTTTTTAGAGTCAAGAAAGATAGACTGTGGCCTAGGGGCTAGAGGGAGGTGAGAGTCATAGGCTAATTCTATCTTCCCTTCCCTGTTATCACTCTATATCCTCCCCCAGCTTACACTGTCACTGCTTGTCACTTACTCATAGCTCATTGCCATCAAGCTGATTTGACTCATAGCTGATCCTCCCATGTTGGGTATCCGAGGCTGTAAATCACATGGGAGGTGACTGCTGGTGGATTTGAACTGCCAGACAAGCTCAGCCTTTGATTTAGCAGTGCTACTCCATACAAACCATAGCATCAGAGCTCCCTTCCCCTCATTAAGTGCTTGTATATACTTGACTTATTTAAACCTATCAACAACTCAGCATGAATTATGTCCTCACTTTACAGATGTGACACATCAGGCTTCTAGGAGTTTGAGCCTTCACCCAAAGTCACACAGTGGCTGAGCAGGGACTCACAATCCAGCATGTGCACCAACTGTCCCAGGGCCTCTTCTGTTCTTTCCCCCTCTTCTCTAATTTATTGATTTCTTCCTTTACCTTTTCCCTTCTGCCTAGCACTTAGACCTACTACTATAAAACTATAAAAGTTTGAATCTGTTGATAGATCTCAGGGCAGAGAGGTTGCTGACTTCATGGCAAAAGTGAAGTCGAGAGTGCCCCTGAAAAAGCTCTAGGTGATTTCTGAGGAGAGCTCTTCTAATTCTAAGAAGTCTCTGGATTAATCTTCTTTTGAGTTATAGGGTTGAACCACATGGTTGTAGTTGAGAAGCTGAGTTTAAGTTACTGTGTTCCGGAAAACCCACTTAAACCACTAAAGAGAGATGACCATCTCACACATCTATAAAGTCATCCATGGTCACTTGGATAAGTTTAAAAAATATGTGAGATAGTCGCCTGCTTAAGTTCATGAGAGAAATGAAGACCATTGCCAGTGTTTGCATCAGCTCCTTAGAGGTGATGAAAGAACAGTTGGAATATGCCTGAGCTGTCCGTCATCTGAAGTGGGACCCTGGGTTTGAGAGAAACCCTCAGACATCTGACGATAACCATTGTGGTTTTTGTTTCAGCCCCGCTTCCATCTCCACAGAGGATCTCCTCTGCCACGTTGGCGCTGGCTGTGATCCTGCCTGTCCTGGGGCTTGTCATCATGGCAGGCATTTGCCTCATCTGGAAGCTAAGAAGAGCAAAAGGTAACAGAGGGGTGAAAGGAGCCCAGTGGAAAAGGCAGGGAGCAAGTGGGGGGAACATGTGACTTGTCCCCAGGATGGAGCTAGCAAGTTGACTGGGAGAAAACCAGTGGAGCCGTGCTCCGGTCACTCACATTGATGAGGGTGTTAAGAAACTGAGCAGAGAAATGAAAAAGTAGCATGCCAGCTCTAGAACTGATCAAGAAATGCACTTACATCTTTTGGACAAACCCCTCATAAGGATATCCACATTCCACAGGATTTTAGGTTTGGAAAGCGCCTCAAATGTCACATGATTCAATTCTCTTCTTTCCATTTGAAGGACTCTGAGGACCTTCTAATTCTTTCAAAGGCATCTCAGGGTGACACACATGGTTAAGTGCTTGGCTACTAACTGAAATGTTGGTGTTTGAATCCACCCAGAGGTACCTTGGAAGAAAGGCCTGCGGACCTGCTTTTGAGAGGTCGTAACCATGACAGCTCTGTGGAAAACAGTTCCCCTCTCAGACACATACACACAGGGTCATCACGAGTTGGAACTGACTCTAACAACTGGTCACATAACCACAGTGGCAAGGAGTGAGGTTCTATGCATGCAACTTGGGATATTTCTGGACAACTGCCCACTTAAAAAAAAAAAAAAAAGGACAGCAAAAAACTCCAAAAATATGTTCTGACTGATTTCTTTCCCTTTTAGAAAAACTTCTTTATGAACAAGTGATGGAGGTAGGTAAGTGTCCTGGGAAGGGTGAGAATGTTTCTTTCTCTAATTTGTTCATGTTTACACTCCTAATACTCATTGTTCTAAATTCTGTACCTGAAAAATTCCAATCCATGCTGATGATAGCAGTTCGAATTTCTTCTTTCCAGTTTTATTGACTCTCGCTTCCAGCTTGCTTAGGTTTTTGTTGGTTTCTGCTCTCCCTACCCGACCCTGTATGTTCGTTGCTTGGCTTTATTCTGTGAGTCTCAAGCAGGTTTAATGTGAGGGAAGCACTTTGTTTACTCAACAGATAATTGATAACTACTGAATTCCTGAGACCATGTGAGGTGCTGAAGTAACAGTGGTGCATCAGAGTGAACATTTGTGCTCACCTGCATCTTTGTGTGTAGTCAGGGAGATATTAAAAAATTAAGTGACTACACAAACAAGTCTAAAGCTACAACTGGGATAAACGCCATGAAAAGAAAGTTCACAGGACTTGTGAAGACTACAAGCAGGAAGGATCCATCAAGTTTGAGGGACCACGAGGTCTCTCCGTAGGAAGTGGAGATAAGGTCTGAAGGATGTGCAGTCATGGGTCATGTGAATAGGGAAGGAAAATTCATTTATAGAAAGAAACTTGAGGAAATAAATATGAACAGAAGAGAGGAGTGCTCATTTGAGTAGCGGAAAAGGTGTAGAAGTGAGGGACATTGAGACTGGTTAGCAGATGCTAGAACCTGGGTGGTACAGTGGGTGGTTAATGCCTTACTGCTACCTGAAAGATCAGAGATTCACATCTACCTGAAAGCACTTTGAAAGAAAGGCCTGGAAATCTACTTCTGAAAAACCAGTCATTGAAAACAAGTCTCTGAAGCACATGGAGTTTCCATGAGTGAAACTGACCTGCCAGTAACTGTCTTAAACATTTTTTTTTAATTGTGATCGAAGTCAGTTTACAGAGCAAATTGGTGTTCCACTCAGCGATTAACACACATCATGTTTCACGAAACAGCTTACCATCCCCAGCATTGTTCCCATTTCCTTCCCATGTCCTCCCTCTTTCCTAGCCCTTCCTGTTCTCTGAACGCTCTCTCTGGGAAAATGTCCTTTAGATTTTGTATGGTTGATTGTTTTAAGGAGTACATTCCTCCCTGGTGTTATCACCTTATAGGTTTGACCATTTTTTTTACTGTAAGTGGAATGATGGGAGGGATTTCAGTCCCAGGGAACAAAGGAGTTATAGTATTGAGGTTCCCCAATCCCAGTTAGGCCAGTAAGTGTGGGTTTGGATTTTTTTGGTAATGACTTTTTTGAATGTGTTCTGTAATTTTCTCCCCCACTATCAGGCACCTTCTATTATGAACCCTTTCACTAGTTTTAGATTGTATGAGACCTTGTCATGTTACCCATCATTCTAAGAGTGGAGTGGTGGTACAACATTGACCAGCGATGTCCAGATCAGAGTTGTGCTCTGAGAAACTCTCTCTGGCTTCAGTGTTGGGAAGAGAACAGAGGGAGCTGAGGGATGGGACAGAATTTGGGATGTTATTTTTGTCATTCAGATGAAAAATGACAAGAACTTGGATCAGAGAGAAGGAGGGAGAGGTAAACATTGGCAGGCAGGTTCAAGAACAGGTAAAATCCATAGGAATTAGGGGTTCTCAGGCACTGGCATAGAATCTCATTTTTTTTCTCCTTCTTTCCCCTAGAAAATCTTCTTGAAGATCATGCAAAAGAAAAAGGTAATTATCAGTACAGAGTAAGAGGTAGGGAACAAATGGCATATTTTTTTCTTCCTACATAGATGGTATACCAATTGACATATTTCAGCTAACAGATGCTGCCCTGGATTGTGCTCACCAAGTTGTGCCAAGAAATCTGGAGAACAACTACTTGGACAACTGACTGGAAGAGATCTATATTTGTTCCCATCCCAAAGAAAGGTGACCCAACTGAGTGTGGAAACTATAGAATAATCTCATTGATTTCACATGCAAGCAAGAGTCTACTGAAGATTATCTAAAAACGACTGGAACAGCACATCAGCAGAGAACTGCCAGAAGTCCAGGCTGGGTTTATAAGGGGTCATGGTACTAGAGATATTGTAGCTGATGTTAGATGGATCTTAGCTGAAAGCAGGGAATACCAGAGGAATGTCTATCTGTGTTTCATAGACTATGCAAAGG